TTTTCTTGGTAAGAACAAGACATTTTGTAGGCAATACTCTGAGTTAGAACACATTGATATTTTTCCGCCATTCGATCATGGTACACACGAGATGTCAATAAAAAAATAAAAAAGGAAAGCTAGAAAGCTTTTGCACTGGTAAAGATGGGTTACAATCATCATATACTATTAGTGTGGTATGATTAAGAGAATTTATGCTTATTTCTTTCTCCCATCCAAGAATCGAATTGAATAGAATAGAATAGCATAGAATGAGGGAATAAGGGAATAGAATAGAATGAGGGAATATAATATAATATAATATAATATAATGTAATGTAATGTAATGTAATGTAGAGTAGAGTAGAGTAGAGTAGAATAGAATAGAATAAGAGTAGAGTAGAGTAGAGTAGAATAGAATAGAATTAAAACAGAAACAGAATTGAATTGAATTAAAACAGAAACAAAAACAATATAGAACACAATAGCTTTATTTGGCCCAGTGTGTTTAGACACACAAGGAATTTGTCTTCGGTGCAGCAACTCTCATTGTATATGTGAAACATAGTTCCCCAATTCTCAGATAATCTAGAATGTGGATGGGAAGTATGGTTGTTTCAGTAGAAGAGACAACCACACCTTAAGGGAGCAGGTGGAAGAAATCTCATTCAAATGTTGGAAAATCTGTGTGTATTTGAATTAGGAGCTCTAGAACTGCAACTGTCCAGGTCTCTTTCCTATCAAAACAAATAGCAGACGTTCATCATCTTGACGTCACTAAAAAAAAAATTCTAATACTTTTTTGAAAGTATTGTGAAACCTAGCAAAGCTCTGGAACTTTTGGGGTTGTGTGTGTGTGTGTGATAGTTAGAAGATTTGAGCTTGTGTTATCTAAGACTCTGAAAATATATTCTACAGTTTGATAGCTCTGTATTAAACTGCATCAAGCCACTAACAACAACAACAACAACAACAATAATAAAGTTGGAAGGGACCTTGGAGGTCATCTAGTCCAACCCCCTGCTCAGGCAGGAAATCCTATACCATTTCAGACAAATGGCTGTCCAGTCTCTTCTTTAAAACTTCCATTGTTGGAGCATTCATCGCTTCAGGAGGCAGGTTGTTCCACTGGTTAATTGTTCTAACTGTCAGGAAGTTTCTCCTTAGTTCTAGGTTGCTTCTCTCCTTGATTAGTTTCCATCCGTTGCTTCTTGTCCTACCTTCAGGTACTTTGGAGAATAGCTTGACTGCCTCTTCTTTGTGGCAGCCCCTGAGATATTAGAACACTGCTATCATGTCCCCCCCTCACCCTTCTCTTCATTAAACTAGACATATCCAATTCCAGCAGCCGTTCCTTATATGTTTTAGCCTCCAGTCCCCTAATCATCTTTGTTGCTCTTCTCTGTACTCTTTCTAGAGTCTCAACATCTTTTTTACATCGTGGTGACCAAAACTGGATGCAGTATTCCAAATGTGGCCTTACCAAGGCATTGTAAAGTGGTATTAATACTTCACGTGATCTTGATTGTATCCCTCTGTTAATGCAGCCTAGCACTGTGCATCTACTGTAAGCAGTATTATTACTCAGCACCTACCCCCAATGACGCAAATTCAGAACAACGTTCTTCCTGCCCATCAAAATGAATGAATAACTTGCTGCAGCTGTTCTTAGAAATGAATAGAATATTAAGGATTTCTTCCTCACCAATAGAAATTGGATAACCATTATCTATCTAAATGTAATTGCCTTTGAATTGGCGTCACAATCAGGCAGCTTGAACAAACACGGCTGTTTTAAAATTCAGAATAATTTACCTATTTATATAGTAAGCATTTTCAAATAAATAATACTGTACTTATATTATTCCTGCCTCTCATTTCAAACCTTGCCAAGCTTATTTTTTATTTACTAATTTATTTGTAAATAAATTTATTTATTTTATCCTGCCTTTATTATTTTAATAAATAATTAAAGATGAAGAAAATACAGAATACTCCTTCTTCCTCCTATTTTCCCCTTGTATTTTCCCCACAAACACAACAACAACCCTGTGAGGTAAGTTGGCTAAGACAGGGCATGAATTCACAGTCTTCTGCTTTCTATCCTGGTGCCTTAACTACTAGACCAAACCTATGGGGGAAAGAGATCTTAAAAGCTTGCAGAATAACAGAATTGGAAGGTCTTCTAGCCCAACTCACCCATGTAGGGGACCCTATACCAGGGGTCTTCAAGCTTGGCCCTTTTATGACTTGTGGACTTTAACTCCCGGAATTCCTCAGCCAGCATGCCTGGCTGAGGAATTCTGGGAGTTGAAATCCACAAGTCATAAAAGGGCCAAGTTTGAAGATCCCTGCCCTATACCATTTCAGACAAATGGCTGTCCATTCTCTTCCTAAAAACCTCCAGTGTTGGAGCACCCACAACCTTTGAAGGCAAGCCGTTCCACTGATTGTTTTATTATGAGATTTCTCCTTAGTTCTAGATTAGATCTCTCTTTCATAGGTTTTCACCCGTTACTTCTTGTCTTGCCCTCAGGTGCTTTGGAGAATAGGTTGACTTCCTTTTCTCTCTGAGAGCCTCTCAAATATTGGAAGACTGCTATCATGTCCTTCTCATCATCAGAGACTTCATCAACATCATCAGCAAAAATCTGACCATAACCAAGTGTTTTAGATAAGCAGAATATGGAGCCCATTAGCCCCATCCTGATTATAGCTTGGAATAAAAATGCTTTATTTTTTAAATGCATAAAAAAGCAAAATTGCCTTCTAGTCCAGTTCAAACCCTGGCAACCCATATGGATGCATCCATGAAGTTTTCTTGGTTTATGTTTGTCTTATTGGGAATATTTTTTTCAACTTCCCAATCTTGTTTACAGTCCTGCATCAGCTCCATCCCACCCGTTCTATCCCCGTACCACTCAAGGCTGCATGACTTCTCAACCAAGCTCACTTAACTGACCTTAAGACACAAATAAATAAGTCTGAGATTAAACAAACAAACAAAAACACACTGTTTTCTCCCCCAGAGGGAGAAGAAATGACTAAGGGAGGGAGATGATAACAGGTTGCTCTGCCTTGTCAGGTTGAATTTAATTTCCTTTTCTAACCCTGTCAAAAATAACTGCCCTGTTCGCTCTGAAGGAGGTAAGCACATTTACTTTGGATTTTAATCATAAACTAGGCTTCTCAGCTCAGTGCCTCCAGACACACCATGCTTGTTAGGTCGCAAATTCTCAATGTGCTCAAAAACTGTAATCCATCTAAAAGGTGTCAGGCTGCAGAAAGCTCCCACAAAACATCACACAACGGTCTCAAGAGATTCACAAGACAAGCCACGCATTGGCATATTGTCACTCGTCAGGTAGCAGGTGCTATGGCACAATACCATGTGCTGGAGTGAGATTCTGAAGACTGAGAAGGGCTTTTTTAATGACTCAAACCTCAAGATAGTTGAGCATTCTTGCCAGAAATCTTGTGAAGACTTGCAAGGTTTGGTGGCCTTCTGATTTATATAATTTTGGGATTCCATAAATGCCATCCAAGGGGTTATTGTAAGTGCCACACTGTTGCTAAATTGCCTGTTCCTGACATAAGCCCATCCTGCAGATGAGAACAAAACATATTGCTTTCCATACCTCTGTGGACAATCTTTTCATCTCTTGCTTCCTCTGCTGTTCCGCCACGTTGGCCACAGACTCGGCTAACTGGTTGAGTTCTTGCTCATTTGGGGCTCCCATGAAGCTCAGCAAAGGAGGCTCCCAGCCATTCCTGAATCGTGGCATGTAGGGTGGGATGAAGTGGTCCTTGGGCCACTCAGCTCTGCGATTAAGACAAAAATAACACCATAATTTAAAACCTTTACACTAGCGGGGATAAAGTGACAGATTACAAAACAGCAAACCACACATACATTACATTATACAAAGCATTGTTCTTTTTTCATGATGACAACCTTCCCTTACCGGATGCTCTCTAAATGTGTTGGACTACAGTCCCTGTCACTTCCAGCCATTAGTGGTCATGCTGGTTGGGTGTGGAGAGAGCATTAACCCAAAAGATCAGGAGAACATCAAGCTGGAGATAGCAACTCTACTCATCCTATTTCCTACAGAGGACTCGGACCAAGAGATAAGGGGATTCTGAATTCAAGCTCTCTCACATACACAAAGGACTGGAGACATGAATTCCAGCCTATCTGAAGCTCCAAATAGTATTTTGGAAGCAAGCAAGAGAACACTAAGGAGACTGGCTCCAATTTCTTATTACAAATGTACAGGTAGTCTTCGACTTACAATCTTTCATTTAGTGACCATCTGACATTACAACGGCACTGAAAAAAATGACTTATGGCTGTTTTTGACACTTAGGACCATTGCAGCAGCCCCATGGTCATGTGATCAAAATTCAGCCATTTGGTAACTAATTCATATTTATAGTGGTAGCTGTGTGATCATCTTTTGTGATCTTCTGACAAGCAAAGTCAATGGAGAAGCCAGATTTGCTTACACACACACACACACACACACACACACACACACACACACACGTGATATGGAAAGAATTTAGCAAGGACACCTCTGTGACTGAAGTCTTCCAATATTACAAACTCTATGCACCTCTGCTGTACTATATCATTAGATATTTTGGAATGGAATGGAGCTTGAATGCATTGGAGCAAAAAATACAGGATGAGTCGAGAATGTATGCTGATATTCATTCTCAATTTATGGGAAAAGAAAATGTGTACAGCCAAAAGAAAATGTCTTTGCTTTTAGAATGGTCCCCTTAAAATGAACTTTCAATCTGAAGGTCTCAAAACAATTCAGATTCTCCCCTCAATAATCCACAGCTGTGTGCATATCCTTCAGCAAGGCCTTCCCTAACAGACAGGTTGGGACTGCAACTCTCCAAATTCCAAGTGCCACACTAGCCTGGAATTCTGGAACATTCCAGATCAATGTATCTGGAGGGTAGAGGTTGGGGCAGTTTACCTATCCTCCCCCAATGAGGATTTCTGCAGGATCTCTCTGTATTATGGACAGTATTCTGGCCAGTATTCCATGCCTTTTCCTCTCAGGGGATGTAACTTGGCAAGCACATGGACAATATAACAGTGGATTTTTTTTTTTTTTAAAAAAAGAAGCATTATAGCAGTTCGTTTAGTGCAGGGGAAGGCAACCTTGGCTCTTTTATGACTCCCAGAATTCCTGAGCCAGCCATGCTGAGGGGAAAGGGAAAGGTTTCCAAGCTGAGCCATGCTGACTGAGGAATTCTGGGAGTTGAGGTCCACGAGTCTTAAATTAGCCAATAGAATAAAAGGGAGTAGCACAGCTAAGGAAAAGGGAGAAAAAATGGCGGATTGCGTTGTTTGGCGACCCTCGTGAAATGGTCGTTTGACCCCAAATGGGGTCCCGACCCACAGGTTGAGAACCACTGTTTTAGATATCCTCTTATTTTTTTTCCTCTACAGAAAACTTCATACGTTTTCGCCCGTGTTTCTTGTAATCATCAGTGTCAAGAATGGATCTATTTACAACACCCTCAATCATTTCAAAATTTATTAAGGGCTATAATTATGCATGGATAATTATCTCTGAATGGGCGTGTTTTAATGCAGGCTGACAATCATGTAATTAGGATCACTGATTTGTGTCACTTTTCAGCCAACCGGATTCACTCTTCATTATAGAAGCTTTCATCATCAAAGCTGCTCAAAATGGCTATTGACTTGTAGGATCAATTAACCAATAATGGCAAAGTATAAGCAGCCCTTTCCTACTGAGAGGCCTTGCCAAGAGTCTTCTGAATTCTTGCATCAAGGAAAAAAAAACAAGGAAACTGAAACATGAATAACTGAATACAAAATCCAAGAATATAAAAATTTTCTTGAGCTTATACAGGAAGTGCACATTGGTGGAAATAAACCAACATGGAAGGTACGCCCATGAAGTTTAACACAGTTCAAATATAAAACACTCAACTCAAATGTTACCTGGCTTTGGTCCATGCGTTGCCTAGGGATACCCAGAGTTGTCCTTCCTCACTTGTGACAATGCAGCGTAAGAACTCAATGGTGTCTTTTGTCAAAAGAGGGCTGAGCACTGTGCTGGCAAGCTCGGGGCCTCCTGTTGTTTGAACCACCTATGAGAACCAATAAATGCACACTGAGATAACATGGTCGCTTGCAGAATAGAGCTGGTAGTGGTATGCAGTGAGAATCAATGCTGTGTTATTTAGCATAGGCCAGGGGTAGGCAACCTTGGCTCTTTTATGACTCATGGACTTCAACTCCCAGAATTCCTGAGCCAGCCATGCTGAGGGGAAAGGGAGAGTTTCCAAGCTGAGCCATACTGGCTCAGGAATTCTGGGAGTTGAAGTCCATGAGTCATAAAAGAGCCAAGGTTGCTTACCCTGGCATAGGCAATGGGGTAGGATTAATACCATTTCTGGTTCCTTTTAAAATCTATGTGCATCTATACAGATTATATAGCCGTGGTGGCGCAGTGGTTAGAATGTAGTACTGCAGGCTGACTCTGCATTCCACTGCCAGCAGTTCGATCCTGACCGGCTCAAGGTTGACTCAGCCTTCCATCCTTCTGAGTTCAGTAAAATGAGGACTCAAATTGTTGGGGGCAATTTATAGCCCTTAGAGAGGGCTGTAAAAGCACTATGAAGCGGTATATAAGTCTAAGAGCTATGGTTAAGTGCTACTAAAATTATAATTTTTGTACATTTTTCCATGTATACAGGTAATCCTCAATTTACGATCGGTTGTTTAATGACCATTTGAAATTATGACAAACTCCAAAAAATGTTACTTACATACAACCTGTCCTCGAAGTTACAACTTCCGTACCACCCACTATAGTCACATGATCACATTTTACACTTTTTTTCCGGTAAAAATCACCTATTGGATAAGCTGGATTCAGACTTACAGTCACGTGATTTGCTTAATGACCAAAATGACTTGCTTAACAACCATTGTAAAATGGTCATAAAGTTGACTCCGATCACTTGATGACTTGACTTATCACAATGACCTATGACTGAAATTCCAAGCTTATGGAATATTCTGATTGATGACCAAAATTCCAAAACTCAAGGACTATTTGTGCTCTGTAGATTAAACATGCATTTTGAGCTTTGGAATCTAGTGTAACTCCTTCTTGATTGACTACTGTGGGACAAATAAAATAATTGGAATGGATAAAATTGATTAAAATAACAGCAAGGTTTTTAGAGCAGATGGTGCTTTTTATTTCAATATGAAATGGAGTAAGCTAGCTTTAAGGAAGCTAATAAAAAGGAAGTATTTTTTTCTATGATACACACCCTCTACTTTCAACACTGTGAATTCATCATGGATTAAGTTTTGATGCACTCAGAAAAATAAACTGAGCCCCTAGATATTAAATAATATTTCAGACTTACCATATTTAGAGGAGTAAACAGAAAATGAATCAGTTCAGGTGCACTGGGATTCTGGATGTGTGACTTTAATTTAGCCTGTAAAAGGTAAAATAGAGAGTATGGAGTATGAGAATACAGTTCAGCAATTCAAAATGGCATTGAAATATCTCAAACACAGTTCATGCCATAACCCAGTTATTAATAAAAGATAATTGCATTTATATAATGATGCCAGCTAAAATCCCAAAAGTTTAAACAACATTTTAAACAAATTTTGTTATAAATAAATAAATGAGAGATAATAGATAGATAGATAGATATGACTAATCCTCTAATCAATCTAATCTACTCAATCTAATCAAACAATTTCTTAAACTAAATAAGGATGCATTTAAGCCATAGTTTTCTGAACAAACCAAAGCCAATCTTTTAAATGAGCAATGAATGCAGTCATGTCCTGTTCATTGCTGATGTTTTTTTTCCCTCCCTTTATTCTACATTATCCCCCCCAAAAAAAAATGAGTGGGTAAAAAGAACTAGATGTAAGCCACAAATAAATAAGAATTCTTGACTTATATATGAAGAAATGAATGGCTTGTGCAAAGAAACATTCAGAAACTAACAAAGGCCATTTGGGGGTCATATCATCGTGATGCAATAAGTATGTTTTAGGGTCAATTTCTTAATAAACATTATTTAAAGATTTATTTATTAAATTCAAGATTTTATTATAAAAATGTTAAAGATTTTTCAAGAGTTAGTCCTGGTGTCTCCCTTAGCGTTCCAGGTTTTTTGGTATCCATCCTGCAAATTCTAAATTAGGCATTGACACATAGATTAGAAGCAGCAGATGTCTAAGATGATGCAATCATTGTGACATTACTAAAATAGTCTCCTTTCTAACTATTTCTATGCTCTAGAACAGGGGTCTTCAAGCTTGGCCCTTTTATGGCTTGTGGACTTCAACTCCCAGAATTCCTCAGCCAGCATGCCTGGCTGAGGAATTCTGGGAGTTGAAGTCCACAAGTCATAAAAGGGCCAAGCTTGAAGACCCCAGCTCTAGAATCAATAACATAGTTATTCAATCAATAATCATAGTTTACATGCTATGATCCGTGTGTCAACCCGCCCACCCCCAAATGGAGTTATTGGAAGCTTGCAGAAAAAGGAAGAAGAGAGCGAAAGTAGGAATATATAAACACATTCCTGATATACTGTCTGAAGATTGTCCTTAGCATCCTAGAAAGATTCTTGTGTTTGTAACTTGAAAAAAATCCAGCAAAATCATTACAGTCCTGGAAGTTGCCATACTTTAGCTGAGTGTGATGGGAAAAAAAAACTTTTAACATATCTCTAAAGAAAGTGAGCTATAATGCCACTATTTGATCACTCTCTTAGTTCATTTCCCTTTTGTTCTAAAACAAACAATTCAGAACAGTTTGTACAACTGCCAAGTGTATTTAGTTAAGGAAATCTAAGTTGCAATTTACAGGAAAGCTGGTGAAATTCACAGTAGCAGATTGTAACAACAGATTTTAAAAAACAGACCATTGATGCCAAGCTTCAACAAAAACCTGGAATTGCTTGGAGTAGCCAGCTCAGACTCACTTACCAAAAGGTTGAAACCATGCTTAAATTTTTGCAAACAGTCCACAAATTCATCTGCAGATGGAGGTTTTGCACGGAGAGTTAAGACCCCCTCTGGTGAAAAATAGAACAGTGAAACCAAAATCACTTAGACGAGTACCTATAGAAATATTTTCATCACTGGCAAAGGAGGAGGATCAGATTCTACACTGACTCGGATGTATAAATGGGCTGTATAGCTTCAAGGATCATTTTGAATGTCCTCAATAAATTATAGAAGCATGGGTCCTAGCTCAGTTCTTTGGCTAATGGATAAAAGTGTTATCAGCAAGAAACTTTTAAAAGTTGGTGGCCTTTTCTTCATGTAAATTTATTCTCCTGCAATTCACTCTGTAGAATGCTAATAACCAATCTGCCCCCAAAGTGTTATGCTCTAGGTCAGGGGTTCTCAACCTTGGCAACTTTAAGACTTGTGGACTTCAACTCCCAGAATTCCTCAGCCAGCTTTGCTGGCTGAGGAATTCTGGGAGTTGAAGTCCACAAGTCTTAAAGTTGCCAAGGTTGAGAACCCCTGCTCTAGGTGCATTGAAACTACATCTCCCAATTCCCATGATTGTCATATTCCCCAGTCTCAACACATATCCACTCTTGAAGACATAAGGAGAGAGGGAGAGAGGGGGGGAGGGAGAGAGGGAGAGAGAGAAGATCAGCCCAAGTCAATCCAACAAAGGATGAGGGTCTTTTCATTGAAGATTATGGACGTTATCCATTACAGTGTTTCTCAGCCTTGGCAATTTTAACATGTACTTCAGTTCCCAGAACGCTCCATGTACTTCAGCTCCCAGAATTCCTCAATCAGCATGCTGGGCTGGAGATTCTGGGAGTTGAAGTCTACATAGCTTAAAGTTACTGGGGGTTGAGAAACACTGATCTACCACACGGGACTAGTGTGGGATGATAGATAAGTAATTTTCCACTTTGGTCTGTGGCTAAAAGTGAATGATTGGCAATTAGCACCTTTGCATCAATCTCCTCCATCCTGTACTTTTGCAATAGTAATAACAATAGCATTTAGACTTATATACTGCCTCATAGTGCTTTACAGCCCTCTCTAAGTGGTTTACAGAGTCAGCCTCTTGCCCCCAGCAATCTGGGTCCTCATTTTACTGACCTCAGAAGGATGGAAGTTTGCGTCAACCTTGAGCCCTGTTAGGATCGAACTCCAGGCTGTAGGCAGAGTTTACCTGCAATATCGCATTCTAGCCACTACACCACCAGGGTTCCCACACCAGTGGTTCCTTAACCACAATACCACACTGGTTGTCTCACACACACACATGGGGGAAAATGCCTAATACATCAAGATGCAAATTATTTTGTTCTGAAATTTTTTGCAAATCCCACTTCAAAAGCAGGAAACACAAGCATGTGATGGGCTGTTTCAAACATTTTTGAAAATGTAGAGTTTGAAAGAGATAATAATGTCTGTTCCCGGCTCAAAAAGAATACTTCCAAAACACTTGAAAGAGCCCATTTTGCACTTGAAATGGAACATTTCACAAGATTTCATACTCCAAACTAACACACCCTTAATCCAGACAAAAGAATTAATTGACTCAAGACGCCTGCCTTACTGAAATTCCATTTTTTTAAATGTTGATTCATACTCTTTTCTTTGTTCTACTGAGCATGTATACAAACGAATGACAGAATAGAGAAAAGATCATCTGCCTGTTCTTGTCAACATTAGCCAAACATTAAAACATAAATCTAGCCCAAAACATGACTCGAGTGTAACAAACAGAGAATGACTGAATGGTAAAGTTTGTTGAGCTCTGTCCAATGCAAACTACTTATTGAACTGAACAGAGGAACTCTTAACAGTTCAGCGAGTGAAATGTGATCAGAAAATACTGGAAAAAAAAAAGAAATGGTTCTGATTCTTACCACCTGGCCCTTTCTTCTTATTTTTCTTGCTTTTCTTCCGCTTTGAAAGTTCTGAAAAAGCTTCTGCTGCTTTTTGAAGCTTGGTGACAAAATATTCAATGTCATCCAGAATATGATTCAGGATTTGCTAAAGGAAATAGACAGTGGGTGTCATTTATGAATGTAAGGAACGTCACCCAAGATGTTGTATTGTTAGTTACGAAGAATGGGAATCGCTGCAGAGAACCTGTGCATTTATCTACAAAAAGTGACGCTTTGTAAAATGAATTAGGCTGTTATTACCATATCACTTGGGTCTATGTTTCCCTTTGTTCTCAAGCTAGCATCAGTAAATGCTCTGTGCTCGGTAAAGATTGGAGCACAATTATTTGAGTAAGGTCTTCCCACACAAGATCTTGGCTTAACTTTGTTCTTTCTGGAGTGCTAGGGAAACCTTTTTTTTTAATAATTTTTTTTTTATTTTCCATTTATTCAACATACAAAATACAATTTACAAGATAAGATAAATTCATAACCATTGGTGCCGCTTGCCCATTCCCCCCAGGCTGCGTCCACCCTCTCTAATACCTTCCTTACTTCCCTCCTCTTTCTCTCCTCCCCTCCTACTCTCTTCTAGGGAAACCTTTTTTTAGCCTTATCTTATAGCAAGCAATTATGAACTTATAAAACTATTTCTGCTCTAGTTCCTTCCCCCCCCTCCCCCACAATTATGAAATGAGAGTCTGGATCCATTTAAAGTATTTTTAGCTCTTAGTACAAAGAGATGTTGAGGGCCAGTTCCAAGGTACGTCCAAATATAGTCTTAAAGTTACGACTCCGCCTTCTTTATTTTCATTCAGTCCTGAATTAAGCTTCTATAGCAGTGATTCTCAACCTTTCTAATGCCGTGACCCCATAATACAGTTCCCCATGTTGTGGTGACCCCCAAGTGGGTGTGGCCACCAATAAGAGGGAGTAGGACAGCTAGGGAAAAAAATGGTGGACAGCATGGTTTGGTGACCCCCGTGAAATGGTCATTCGACCCCAAATGGGGTCCCAACCCACAGGTTGAGAACCACTGTTCTATAGGCTCCAAATAGCTATCTCAGCCTTAGTCTATCAATCTCCTTTTCTGATTCATGACCCTTAGTAGGATAAAGGTCAGAGGAGGAGAGAGGATGTGTAGCCTTCCAGATATTGTTAAAATATAATGGTCAACTAGGCTAAAACTGTTGGGGGGTGGTTTGGCAAGGCCTTGATAGACACTCTTCCTTATTCCTAAATCCAGAAGGTCCTAATTGGCTGAGCAGGTTTATGTTCATCTTTAGATCATCCAGGAAGCACAATGTGCATTATCTTGAATGTTATTTTTTAATAGCTAAGGAAGTTCTTATGAGAATAAAATGGAGGGGGAAGAGGAGCTGGTGAGGAAAATATTCCCTGTAATCCTAACAAAATGGTCAGTAACAACAATGAACTTCTTCAAGAATAATATTAGTAAATAATATTATTAATGAGCAAAGATAGTACCAATAGCAATAGGTGTAATCCCAGAACAACTTGAACACCATCAACACTGATAGAAACTATCATTAATCAATTGCAAAAGGCATGTTTTACTTGGAGCAACTTACATCCTGTGATGGTCCCTTTAATACAGTGTTTGTCAACCTTGACAATTTTAAGGCATGTGGACTTCAACTCCCAGAATTCCACAGCCAGCAATGCTGGCTGTGGAATTCTGGGAGTTGAAGTCCACATTCCTTAAAATTGTCAAGGTTGAGAAACACTGCTTTAATAACAAACATCTGCCTATCCCAGGTCCTTGGGAAGGACTCAATAGGTGGATAAAAATGCCAAATCCAGTCTAAACATCTGGCTGACTTTGCAACCAGCCAACCATAATAATAATAAGGCATCAGGCGAGGATTTGGGAGATCATGAGTTCTATTCCTGCCTTAGACACAAAGCCAGCTAGGTGACCTTGGGCCAGCCACATGGAAAGGAGGATATGGCAAACCACTTCCTGCCGAGAAAACTGCAGGAACTTGTCCAGGATTCAAAAACTGACTTGAAAGCACAAAACAAAGGAAACCAAAAACCCCACAAATAAATTGTACCATGCTGTTCCTTAAGGCAGTAAGTTTTCAATTGTTGTTGTTGTGGGAATCCTATGGAACTTTGAACATTTATCAGGAATTTTTTTGAAGTACGGTAAATAATCAGTAATAATTGGCCATTTCCCCCCCCCACACACAAACACTATACAGATCTTTTTCTGAAATCCACATCTGCAAAAGGGAATTGTTATAAATCATAGATTGCATTCCCAATTCATGTGGCAGCACCCTAAGTATACAAAGGTTCCCAGTTCATCTTAAGTACACAAAAAAGAACATGATTCCAGGATTATCAGCAACATGCAAAAGTGTCAACACTGCTAACATTGGATGTTCTTGCTTTGACAACAGATGAAAATGTAGCCATCTTTTCTCTTTCACTTTTAGAGTTAGTTGATGCTGGGAGGGGGGAATGTGGATGAGAGTCCAGCTAGTCATAACAATAATAACTCAGCCCTGGGAATCCAAGCTTATTGTGCCCAGAGTTGATAAAGATTTGGCAGGCTGGGGAGAAAGCCCACACTTCAAGCTAATTGGGGAATGTGATTTATGACTGTAAATTGGAGGAGGGAATTGTGCTTTGCTACTTTGTGCCCAGGGGAGGGGAATTCAGTTTTTGGCTTCAACTATTTTGTTTCTCGAATAAATGATTCTTTAAGGAAAACAATGCCTCAAAGTTCTTTTGAAGAGATTCATCTGTCGGAACCATGACAAAAGACTTCCAGGGCAGATGCTGGGGAAGATCCTTGTGATAAGCTCTGATATGAAAACCAAGGTAGAACATACAGTAGCTATCTCAGTCTTAAAGAACCTTTTTTTCAATATGCTCTCATAATTGTTTTTGTGCTACAAACTTCAAGACCACTTCCCCTTATGTTAGCCTAAATAACGTCAGATGTTATTTTAGCTACTTGTCCAGGGGAAAGCACTACACTACACCAACCTATTGTGTGAAGTGGAACTCTTCAGACATAGATGTTCTCCTTAGATGCTGTTAGTGGGAGTTGAACCCTCAGGTGTTGCACTTGTTGACTATGCAGGGCATTTTGTGGTCATGTGGTGCCTCCTACTGGTCAGTAGTTAATATAGCATCTTGGTCTTTCCACTTCTAATACCCTCTGCACCAGGGGTCCCCCACCTCCGATCCACGGGATGCCAGAAACTGGTGGCATGCAGGCAGCCCGCTCTGGTCCACGGCAAAACTCTCTCCACGGAACCGGTCCCTTGTGCCCAAAAGGTTGGTGGCCTCTGCTCTACACATCCTTGCCATGCTTATAATCCTCCACCTCACTCTTCCCTACCTCTACTAACCCCCTCCAGGCAGCCATTTCTTAGTTCTGAGAGGGTGCCAGACAACCACCTTGCAGTTGCTAGGCAACTGAGGGATGTATTTCTCATCTGAATCCCAGGGTTGCTTCACACTTTATGAAGAAATTATGGCAGGGGCAGACAGCCTAGTAAACATAAAACATGAAAAGCAGACACACTTTCCCAAACTTAACCAGAAATTATGCAAATCAAGATTCCACGCCTTCTTTTTTTTTTTACACACTTGACTGCTGAAAAACTCAGCTTTAATCAAAATCAACACAAATCATAATATTGCCTGCTGTTGGACTTTTCTTGCAATCTGGGAAGAGATCGCTTGCCTCCCATTGCTGGCCAGAGCTTAATGAAATGGAATCGGAGTATAAAAACCTCACCGGGGCAATCATAGGCCAGCAGGAGATGCTGGAACTGATTGAGAAAAATAAAAATAAAAATAAGGCATGTTGCTCATTAGGGAAGAGGCAGGGAAGCACCCAGGACCAGTAAATGCTGAGCAGAAGCCAACATGAAGAAAAGGAAGAAGTGGCAGGTGTTTATTAAAACTCCTCTCCATAACTGAAGTATTGGGCAGATGGAATTCTGGAATAAATGAGCGTAGTTGATGGATCTGGCCTGACGTGGTCCCTTAGGAAATAAATACTCTCGACTCCATTAGTAGCAAAAAAATTACTTTTACTAAAGATCACTAAAAGCCAAATGGTTGCAGTAGAGCAAAGCCAGAACTAAGAGTTTGCGCACAAAGATTCCTTAGTTAACTTTCCCTTTCCCATTCCACCCCACCCCTCTATCTCTCCATTGTCCAGTTATATTAGAATAAGATGTTTTGGTAACTGTCCCTGCAATAGTTGGATAGATGGAGAGGTGTTAATTTCATTCCCAGATTCTTGATCTCAGAATGTCTCAGGACGGCATAAAGCTTCCTTTTGGTTTCCCTCATCTTCCCAGAGATCCTCCCCCTATAGCTTATGACAGACTGGCATCTAGAGAAACATAGTTGGGAGCGAAGGATGGCAGCTCTGACATTCCATCTTCCCACTGCTCCCTCCTCCCCATAGCTTAGGGCAGACTGGCATCTAGCAAAACATAGTATCCAGCAAAGGATGGCACTCTGACATTAGTCATCATTAAATGTTTTCTTATTTCACAGCCCTGAAATTTATTACTGGGAGAAAAAATTGTGAGTGGAACTTAATGATAATATCAACTGCTCCACCAAATTTGAGGAACATCAAAACCTCTCACAAACAATCTCTTTGGCCACTTACAACATCTCGGTCAATCTTGGCTGCCATCATTTCAGCTGTTTCTTCATGCTCATGATATTGCTTTGGTTTCTCACCTAAAGAAAGAAGGAGATGAACAGAAGCTTCTTCAGGGGAGAGACACAGTGGCTGTGATTAGACCACCAATTTGAAAAATGTAGTGTTCATATTTTCACAACATGTTAAGATTGATTGGTTTTCCTATGAATGAAACAAGAAAGTCTGTTGCATTCAACAGCCAACAAATAATGCATGATTTTGAAGGTATTTTTTTTCCCAACTGTGTTGTGATTTGCAGCTTCTTCCAGCTCAATAGGTCATTGTGGGTTTGGGTATCATGGAAGTTTTCGTCCTTGAATTTTTCAAGGCCATCGTTTTGATGAAATCTTGGCCACTAATGCCAAGTGTGAAAAATGTAATGACTTGGCTTAGGATTTTGTGAGAACCCAGGTGGTTGGGTAAGCTTAACATTCAATCTATGGTGAGAATTGGAAACCCAGTAATGAATGAAACAGTGTGCCTATGAAACCTGAAACAAAACATCAACATTTATATATTTGGAAAATGCAACACAGTTGCCTGGAATTGGAAAAAGAGAGCAGGGTCACACCATCCAGAATATATACCCCTTATTTAGAGGACTATCATGATAGAGGCCCTTGGTCCTATTATACCTCCCAGGGAACCTCAGATATTGGAGGGATACAGGAACCATTGTACATAAGGACCTTGTAATCATCTTGAAAAAAATAATAGCAACCTATTGTCAATTCAAAATATGTACTTAGCTTGCTAAGGCTACAAGCAACTGTCTTGCTAATATTCTTGCAAAGAAATCCAAACATTTCTATCTTTTAAACATGAATTGGAATGATGCTCCCATTATTTTGCTAGAAACCCAATTTTAATCTCTTTACGGCAGGGGGGGGTCAAACTGCCGGCCCATGGGCCGGACGCATCACGCGGAAGCTGCGCCCATCCCATTACCGGCAATGGCAAAACCGTCCCGATACGTTGTGCGATGTCATGTGACATCGCGAGTTTGACATGTCTGCTTTATGGAGTGACCTCCCAGATGTGGGTCAAAATATTTTTTTAAAAAGTAAACTAAAACAATTGTTGAAACATAAGCTAAATGAGAGTAGAATACCTTCAATTTATTCTGCCAGGACATTTACTGTAGGATAATGAGTCATATTGCCCTAAGGCAAGGCTCAATAATGTCCAGAGCAGAACACTCAGTCTTTGAATCATATCTCAAAATTTCAGCAATACTCACAATCTCCCTGTTCAGCTGCCCACGCGGACCAAGCTGCCACCCGGCTGCGGACATCCACCTGTGTAACAGTCCCTGGGGGGACAGGAGCTGGGGCTCTGGGAGGTGGAGGAATGGCACTCTCTGATCTGGAAATCATCCTAAAACAGGAAAAAAAATGATATAACACTGAAACACCAAGAAAACACAATCTTCTATTTCAGATGTTTATTATTGGCCAGTTTGTATTGCCATGCCTCGCCGTCGGAAGTGGCATATAGCAACAGCGATCAATTGTAGTCTGTCCATCTGTCTGTCTGTTCATCCACCCACCTTGTGGTGAAGCTGAGTTTTACCAATAGCTATAGGATTTAGGCTTATATACTGCCCCATAGTGCTTTACAGCACTCGTTGGGTGGTTTGTAATGAAGAAGCATTATTTGCAAGTTGCCTGCAACAGTCTGGGTCTTCATTTTACTGACCTCGGAAGGATGGAAGGCTGAGTCAACCTTGAGCCCTGTCAGGATCAAACTCCAGGCTGTGGGCAGAGTTTTCTGCAATACTACATTCTAACCACTGCGCCACCAAAGTTTATATGTTCCATAGTAGAACCATCTCAGCACAAAAATATAGAAACCGTTTAATTTGATTTGAATAGGTATCAAGGTTTGGTGTCAACTCTTTGTGATCACAAAAACAAACCTTCTCTGTGATGAGAGAGAGAGGGGGGGGGGTAATGTAATAATTTTGTAAACCTCTGGGTTCTCCCAAGTGTGTTTCTTAATTAGTTACTTTTGGACATATCTAGAACATAATAAGAGCCATCAGGAATCAGATCAAAAATCTATTCATTTTAGCATTCTATTTATGTGACCAATTAGGCACCGATAGGAAGCCGACATGCAACACCCGAGAACAATATATTCTCCTATTCAAGTTCTTAGCAAGTAGGATGAAAGATCTACAGCTTCTGTTACTGGAGGTTTTACATACACCCAGGATTGTGTGAAGCTCTGAAGAATTGCCAGTTTTTGATGAAACTTTGGATCAAACACTATTCAAAGCTGCTTCAGCCCTGGTTGAAGTGCTCCCATGCTGAGTTGCTTCAGCAAATGCTCAGCAGCTTCAGTGTGCCCAACTGTGTGGCTGTGGCACACATTGCTACGTGCAGACCCAAAGCTATGCGCAGATTTGGAAGCACTTCGGCCAATGCGTTGGGGAAAGGATTGAAGCCAGCCTTCTGCCACGCTACTGATCTGAAATAATTGGAGGCCAGCTGAATTCCTTTATCGAGATAAATGGGCTGATCTCTTCGCTCCATCAGAGCGAATCATGTTCCCTTCACAGCCTGAATCACTTCATCAAAGTGAATCTGTGTCACTCTGTGCAGGCAAATCTATGGCCCGCATGACCAGCTTCTTAATGCACGCCCTACCCAAACACTAGGAAAGAGTTGCAAGACAAGGCTCCCGCTTTTACCTGAGGGTTTCAAGTCGCTGCTTTGGTTTCCCTCCTTTGCTATCGCTGATGGCACTTTCAATATCTTCATGGATAAAGTTAGCCTGAGCAGAAGCAGAAGCAATTAATTTGATGCACTGCTGAACGCTTGAGCAAGCCATCTATTGAATGCAACGAGGCTTTACAGGCAGAGCTGCCACCTCGTCGTATAGCAGCAAATTCCACAAAACTTTCAACTTTCCACCTGTACTTTCTTCACTCCATTCAGAGTGAAGGCCAATCAACTTCGTTAGATGATTTGGGAATTTAAATAACATAAGATGCAGCAAAAAAAATCTTCCCTTTCACATTTTAGACAATTAAAAGATGGCTACCCAACGCTTTTTTTTTTCTACCCAGGTTGAGTTATAGCCTTCAGTTAGTGGATTCATATGGAGGAGTGCAGTGATAAGAGCACACAGCATACAGTCAGGTACGATTCCAACTCAGAGGAACACATTCAAATGATGAAAAAAAAATCTCAGTCTAACACAGTGGTTCTCAACCTGTGGGTCGGGACCCCATTTGGGGTTGAATGACCATTTCACAGGGGTTGCCAAACAACACAGTCCTCCGTTTTTTCCCCCTTTCCTTAGCTGTGCTACCCCCTTTTATTCTATTGGCTTTTGAAAGCCAATAGAATAGACTCTCTTGAATAGAGTCTAATTCTATTGGCTTTCAAAAGCCAATAGGAATTGTCCAGGCTGCCCTGCTGAGCCCGCCAAAAGTCCCATTCTGCAAACGGTGCTGCACCAGTTAAGTAGTCCTCGACTTACGACCGGTTGAGTAGTCCTCGACTTACGACCGGTTGGGGGGTCGCGGCATTAAAAAGGTTGAGAACCACTGGTCTAACAGTTTAGGGATCAAATCAGGGCAAAGTGTAATAAGCTAAATGGATATGTGTTACCAGTTATGGCAAATTTCTGTGCTAGCTAATTGGAAGGCATGTGCTCGGTGCCCTACAATATGAGAACACAAGGAAGCCTTATTGAAGCTAGCCAACAGCCCCCTGCCCCATTATTCTATGTCCTACAGTGTCCATGTTAATGCATTCACATAAAAAAAATAACAAACGTCTCAGTTAACAACAGAAATTTTGGGCTCAGTTGTGGTCGTAAGTCGAGGGCTACCTTTTTTGTTATTGAAAGCCATCTTGAGTTTATATAGCAGCAGAAGAAGGGAAATGAATTTAATCATCACCACCATAATCTAAATTGGTAACCCAGCCAAGGCCATAGTAGCCAAATCCTGAGGCTATCAATTTCTTGCACAGCATAAAAAAAATTACTTTATTTTCCCCATCCTGAATCTCTCAGCATTTCGTTTTGTTGGAGGGCTCCTAGTTCTAACATTACGACTAACCCCCCCTCATCCAAAAAAATCATGATTTTATATTTCTAGCGTGTCTCTCCTTTTCCCATTTTTGTTCTGAAGTAAACAATTCCACTGCTAAAATCATTTTCCCTAATCACTTTGGTTGGCCCTCTTTTTATATACTCTTTTTTATCACTGTAAAATCCTTTGGGGAGTGTAGCCTCACCACGGATTTATATAAAAGCATTAGAGGTGTTATTTTTAATTAACATTCTAATGATTCCATGCATACATTTGCCTTCTTTACAATTGTGGCACACAAGATTGATACTTTTGCCAAGATTTCCATCCTGAGTCCCAGGTCCTTTACTGATCAGTCACATTACTGTGATTCATTATCTTTTACTTCCATTTCAAAATGGACTTCAGGGAAAACTAATTGCTGGCCAAGCTTTTAAGGAATTCCTCCACATTCATTTTGGAAGGGTTCCACTGGCTTCTAAAGACCTACTTATTTAATATTTGTATTTCTTTACAGAGCTCAATTATACTCCAAATGCCACTCATTGCTCCAATTCATTTATGCACTAAGTTATCACAGGAGGATTATTATGCACAGAAATCCATAATATTTATGGATGCTGGTTGGCAGGAAGTCAAATACTATTCAGGATTATTGGCCATAAGCAACAACATGGGCATTTGTATTTCCAAATACAGGCAGAATAACTATTCTTTTTAAAAATAAGAATTTGAATATTAAGTCTGCTTAGGAGCTGAAATTATTACATGGCCAACTAGACCTTTAGCATCTCAGCAAGCAAGTCATGTTCTTAAAAGCCAAATCTATACATCATTATGCTTTCTCTGGAAAAGAAAACTGTGGAAATAGGTCTCCAATTGCAGCATCCTTATCAATTCCCCGCTATTGTTTAATCATCCTTTTATTTATGTGTCACTGAGCCACCGCAAGCATTTTCAGAACAGCTTTTCTCAAAACGTTCCTGAAGTGTCACACAACAAGCTGATTAAGTGTAACCTAATGTTATGAAAAGCTCATTAATTATACAAGGATGATCATAAATGCTGCTATCAGTTTCCTGCGAAAGGCAATTACTGTGCAAGATGGAGGGTGATCACGTAATCAATCAGACAAACAAACAAACAAATGTATTTGCCACCCACCTTGTGATTCAGGACACGCTGAGAAGCTTCCCTCAGGATAAATGACATATAACCATGATTATACATATGAAAGTGAATTAAAATTACAAAAATGGCAAGGAGTTTAAAAAAATAAATAAATAAACCAGGGGTATAGAGGGGAGAGGTGGGATGCCTCCTCAATTAGTGCCTCCTCTATTTGTGTATCAACAAATACGGCAGCTTCTCCTTCAGGACCCCATGCCAGCTGGCATGTGAACTGAAGAAGCTTCTTGGAGGAGAAGTGAAACATTTTCAAAGGGGAAAAAACACCCATGGAAGTCCAGTTGCCTTTTGGAAAAAAACACCTTTGGGACAACCATGACCTGGATGATTGGGAACCTCCATAGATAGGTTTAAAAAAACTTTCTTGAAGACTAATAGAGAAGGGTTGGATCTCACCTTCTGCGGTAAGGTGTTCTAGAGTGCAGGAACCCTCATGGCCAAACTTCACATGCTAAAGACATACCTAACAGTTATTAAAGCAGGCTGCTAAATAATGCCTATGCTTAGAACTCTGCTTAGAACTCTGAGGGGACAAACATACCAACAGAAGAGACTATTTGGAGCTCAGGGTTGAAATAAGGAGTCCTTGCTGATCTCTGAGGGTTGTTTTATTACCCAACCAGGTCGCATCATCAGTGCTTGGCACTGGTTAAAGGTATGAAAAAGATTTTGTTCAGTTCTTATATATCAGTGGTTCTCAACCTGTGGGATGGGATCCCATTTGGGGTCGAACGACCATTTCACAGGGGTCGCCAAACAACGCAGTCCGCCATTTCCCCCCCCCCTTTTCCTTAGCTGTGCTACTCCCTTTTATTCTATTGGCTTTTGAAAGCCAATAGAATAGACTCTCTTGTATAGAGTCTAATTCTATTGTCTTTCAAAAGCCAATAGGAATTGTCCAGGCTGTCTCTGCCCTGCTGAGCCCGCCAAAAGTCCCATTCTGCAAACGGTGCTGCACCAGTTGAGTAGTCCTCGACTTACGACCGGTTGAGTAGTCCTCAACGTACGACCGGTTGGGGGTCGCAGCATTAAAAAGGTTGAGAACCACTGTTATATATGAGTGGCATATTTAAGTTTTCCATCGCCTACCAATGATGGCGAACCTTTTAGAGACTTGAGTGCCCCAAAAAACCCCGCCCCCACCCACCACTTTTCTGCCCCCTGCCTACCCACTGCCTCCACCTTGCCTACCCACAGGGCCACCCACTGCTTCCACGGCCCACTGCAACAGATTGCTCAGGCAGCCCTGCAGCACCATGGTGGCCACGCCCTCCACCTGCACCCTTCAGCATCTCCGCACGACGGGGTGAGGGCGGAGTCTTGTCCTTGCTGCCTGGCTGCCATGTTCTTGGCTGCACTGCTCCACACGGGCTGCGCCCAAGACGACTCTCCTCTGGGGGAGGCTGCTGGTGAGGAGGGGCTGTGGGGGGAGGCAGGGCTCGGGCAACAGTGCGCGTGCCCACAGAGAAGGCTCTGAGTGCCGCCTCTGGCACACGTGCCATAGGTTCGCCACCACTGGCCTACCATCTTCCTAGTGCACTGATGCTACAGCTCCTAGAATTTCCTGCTAATTCAGAATTTAAGATCCAGCAGGTCTAGAAGGTGACAGATCGAAGACAGCAGGGTAAGATTATGGGACGAAATAAATAAGTAAGCAAATAAAAAAGAACTCATATATTCCAGCTCCATGTGTTCAGCTGCAGTATTTTGCCCTACCTTCACTTCATCACACTGGAAAAGATGGAGATCTGCTTTGCTCTGGGATGGCTCTTTGCACACTAGAGCAAGGATGGAGTCGTAGTTGCACGAATTCATCACCGCCTGGCAATGCTGTATGGTGTTCAAGGGGAAGTTCTCAAGTTCATTCTGAAAGGCAAACGGGAGGAAGAAGCGGGAAATACAAATCTTCAACATGGTTAAAATCCTTCTCTTGCCTCCCCAATATATTGGTACCCCCATATATACTATGGCTCAAGATGTGTCAACAGAGAAAAAAGGAAAAATAATATAAAACTGGTGGCCAGAAGGATGGATTCTCCTGATTTCCCCCCCTCCATTTCTCATTGTTATTTCATAAAGGAGAATTAGCTTTTGACAATTTTTCAAAAGATCGGAGGCTGGAGAATTTCTTCTTCCCTGGTGAAATTGAAAGAAATTGTCCATAAATCCAATTTCCCTGCTCAGAAATTGGTTGGATAACCTCCATCCAGTGGTGGCGAACCTATGGCACGCATGCCAGAGGCAGCACTTGGAGTCCTCTCTGTGGACATGCACAGTCATCACAGCCCCACCTCCCCTGTGGCCCCCTCCTCACCAGCAGCCCCCCCGGAGGAGAGTCACCCCCCAGGTGCGACCCACGCAGAGCAGTGCAGCCAAGGACATAGCAACCGGGCAGTAGGGATAAGACTCCGCCCTCGTGCCCTGTCGCATGCAGATGAAGTTGCAGGACGCGGGCAGAGGGTGTGGCCGCCATGGTGCTGCTGGGCCACCTGGGCAATCTGCGGCGGGCCGTGGAGGCGGTGGGTGGCCCTGTGGGTGGGTGGGGTGGGAGTGGAGTGTGGGGCAGGGGACAGGGGGCAGAGCAGGGGCGGGAGGGGGGTGGGGAGGTTTTGGGTCATTTGGTTTCTAAAAGGTTTGCCATCACTGCCTTCATCAGTTAATATGTGCCAAGCTCTAATCAAAACTCTGAAAATGGTCTCCATTTTCTCCCCACCTTGCTTAAGACCTTCACCCAACTCTGCCAACACGTCAAGCTTATCACTGAGTCTTTACCTTGGATTCTAAGTCCACTAGTCTGACAGCTTTGTCATCCACATGAAGAATCATATCTTGTGTCCAGACCTTGCCCTTGGCATCCAGGAGTTTCAGCTTCCTTATTCCATCATCAACTGTGATCATGGCTTCTTTCCGATCCAGAATAAAAGTGGTCAGGTGCTGAAAAGGTTGGCAAAAGAAAAGAAGATGTGTGTTTACCAAAGAATCAGCAGAGCAGGTACTTATACAATTTGGAGAGATTATTTTTGAAAAAGCAAAACACGTTGCTTACAAAATAAAATGGAGAGAATAGAAAAACCAACTATATCTGAGGTACATAAATAAAATAATAAAAAAAAATCTTACCTCCACATGATATTGTGTTATTTCTGAAATGCTGCTGATGCTGTCTCGTGCATAATTCTTCCTTTGCTCTGATTTTTATCAAGGATGGAAAAAGAAGATATTAGAATATTTAATTTATTTAAAAATATTAAGTACTAGGTACTTTAAGTATTAAAAACACAATACTAGGCTGCATTAACAGAGGGATAGAATCAAGATCACGCGAAGTATTAATACCACTCTTCAATGCCTTGGTAAGGCCACACTTGGAATACTGCATCCAGTTTTGGTCACCACGATGTAAAAAAGATGTTGAGACTCTAGAAAGAGTACAGAGAAGAGCAACAAATATGATTAGGGGACTGGAGGCTAAAACATATAAGGAACGGTTGCTAGAATTGGGTATGTCTAGTTTAACGAAGAGAAGGACAATGGGGGACATGATAGCAGTATTCCAATATCTCAGGGGCTGCCATAAAGAAGAGGGAATTAAGCTATTTTCCAAAGCACCTGAAGGCAGGACAAGAAGCAACGGGTGGAAACTAATCAAGGAGAGAAGCAACCTAGAACTAAGGAGAAACTTCCTGAAAGTGAGAACAATTAATCAGTGGAACAGCCTGCCTCCAGAAGCAGTAAATGCTCCAACACTGTAAGTTTTTAAGAAGAGACTGGACAGCCATTTGTCCGAAATGGTGTAGGGTTTCCTGCCCGAGCAGGGGGTTGGACTAGATGACCTCCAAGGTCCCTTCCAACTTTACTTTACTATTATTATTATTATTATTATTATTATTATTATTATTATTATTATTATTATTGATAGGTGGGGATCTGTGCTGGCACTGGCTGCCTATCCCTGAATTAAGATTATAAGATAATAAATATCACTCAATAGGCTTGTAATCTATTGTAACTGATTCAAATTTAAACCTCAGACAATGGACTGATTCACCAGCCATAAAGTGGTTACTATGGTTTTGGCTTAGTATGTTAAGCGAAATCAGTCATGATGATAGTCACTAGTCTGAGATGGTATAGGTTCTCCTGCTTAAGCGGGGGGGGGGGGGAAGCTGGACTAGAAGACCTCCAAGGTCCCTTCCAGTTCTATTCTATTCTATTCTATTCTATTCTATTCTATTCTATTCTATTCTATTCTATTCTATTCTATTCTATTCTATTCCATTCCATTCCATTCAGATGTGTTGACTTCAACTCCCAGCATTCTCCAACTAGTATAGGAATTCTGAGTTTTGGGAGTTGAAGTCCACATATCTTAGAGTTGCCATGGTTGAGACCTGTAAACTATTCAGAACTTAGCATAATGGCTAAACCCAACAAATTGGGGCATATTCAAAAACTCATAATTAACTAAGCCACAGCTTAGCCAGATGTGTGAACTAGATCGCTCTGGTTATCTATCGAACTTCCTGATTGACTTAAGGTGGTAAACCAAATCTCTGGCTATACTCTGCAGATTGTCTGCATATCTGAGTTTGCTTGGTATGGACAAAGTTGGAGCTGTCCATTGTGGCAGGCAACCAATTATATTCATGATGAAGTTCTTCTCCTTTAAATTTCCTCATGCTATTACAATATTCCCATTACAGGTAGTCCTCGACTTACAACCATTCATTTAGTGACCCTTCAAAGTTACAACAGCACTGAAAAACAAGTGACTGGTGACCAGTTTTCACATGACCAGTGTGGCATCCCCTATGATCAAAATTTGAGCACTCGGCAACTGGCATGTATTTATGACAGTTGCACTGTCCCTGGATCATGTGATCACCATTTGTAACCTTCCCAGCTGGCTTCTGACAAGCCAAGTCAATGGGAGAAGCCAGATTCATTGAATGACCACCTGCTTCACTTAATGACTGCATGGATTTGCTTAACAAATGGGAGCAACTAATTTAACTGCCTCGCTTAGCAACAGAAATGTTGGGCTCAACTGTGGTCATAGGTCGAGGTCTACCTGAAAGAGCTTTCGGAAGTGGACAATGATAATTAAAATCCGCCTGCTAACTTTTTCACCAGATTCCAGAGTAGATTTCATCTGGTTTCCAGGCACCTGCCTTATGAAAACAACTTATAACAGTGTTTCTCAACCTTGACCATTTTAAGGCATGTGGACTTCAACTCCCAGAATTCCACAGCCAGCATTGCTGGCTGTGGAATTCTGGGAGTTGAAGTCCACATGCCTTAAAATGGTCAAGGTTGAGAAACACTGACTTATAATGATATCTGCTTTGCTTTAGCAGTAACATCACACCATGCTCCTTCAGAAAGTCCCGGGATTGCTTCATATACAGGAGCTGTAAACTGATTTAAAGGGCCAATTTTCCAGGTATCCTCTTGCCCCTTAATCAAAAGCTAACAGCTCTCCAGATTCAGAGATAGGCAACTCAGCCTCCCAAGATCACTGCCTTTACATAAGCAATGAAAATAGCAGTCTTCGCACACATAGCACATAACTTGAGAAGAAACACTCCATTTGGGAGGGAAAAGGCAGAAGCAAATGACACCGCAAGCCAATCACTTTTACCATTTTATCTGAAATCACACCACACACTTAACCCTAATCCTAAATTAACCAAGCACAGTTGCTGGGCCTGCATAATATACTATGCCCAAACAAATACATGTAAAGCATATATCACTGCTTAATAGAAATGCCCGATTCACACAATCTGCCATTAGCATTTCTCATAACATACTGAATCACAAACCATCATGCCTCATTTTAAATTAGGGTGTGATGAGAAGTCAGCCTTAACATTAAGGGCAAGGTTGCAAATTGAAAAGTTTAATATCATAATATATATTCTTTTTTGCTTCCTTACGGTGGGAAAAATATTTTAAGTGGGAGACTACAACTGCAGTATAGCAGTCAAAAAAATGCCAAGGTGCAATCAGTCAGACTGGTCTGTCTGAAAAACTTTCTGTATATACTCCCTTGACTCGGCTGACAAACAGGGGAGGAGAGCCGGGTGGTTAATACAACTGCCTAGCATGTAGGCTGCCTAGGTTCAAATCCCATAAAGGATGTGGCTAGCTGATGAGGGCTAATGAGCCTGAAATAGCTATACTAGTCTCCCACTTAATTTTCTAACTCTATGTGAGCAAAACGAAATCTGAATTTGTAATGTATCGCAGTAGCGACTTGAGCCTGCTTAATGCCCCTAGTATGGGGGGCTGCAAGGCAAAAGACCTACATACAAATACCCGCAAAAACCTCAGAAAACATATATATATATATGGCAAAGAATAAAATGAACACCAGGGTAAAGATAATACCATAAAAGTTTAATTAAAAAGCGCCAAGATCTTCAGGATTCACATCGCGAATCTCCCCCCTCCGTCTTCCCCTTCGTTCTGATCTATTCTTTTCTTTCTCCCCAATGGCATTCACGGGTCCATCGCTAGTTACACTTTGCAATTCCCACTGTTTTGCGCACGCCATGCTACGGGTAACCGGTCTGGGGGGGGTAGTGGTAGCGAGACTACATTCCCCTTGGTTGCTACAGTACTTTTCTCCCATTTTCCTTTTCTTTCCTACGTTGCTGGTGTCTACGCAAGTCTCACGGAGGTCTTCGGGGTTCACAGATGGGGGGCGTGATGGTCCGGTCTCTTGCACCTCGTCGACCTCGCGAATCTCCCCCCTCCGTCTTCCCCTCCGTTCCGATCTATTCTTTTCTTTCTCCCCAATGGTATTCCCGGGTCTATCGCTAGTTACATTTTGCAACTCCCAAAACAACTAAATACAACGACAGCTAGAAAACCGCCCCCCCCCCACAATTAAACAACTTACCTCCCAACCTCAGACCATCATTATGTCACATTCAACTCGGAATAACTTACAAGATCACCCGGATGAGAGTTGTGTAGAAAGTGAAAGCATTAAAGCCAAAAGAGAAAGTCACCGCAAAAGGAGCAACTGGGTAAAGGATGATTGTGAAAAGAACATGAAATGTATATTGCCATCTGAACCCGGGGGGAAGGAACTAAAGCATAGAGACCACCGAAATAATAGAGACTCTTATCCATTCACCCCAGGGTTAAAAGAAGGTAGGATGGACGAGGAGAGACACGTAACTGAAAGGAACAGGAAAGAACAGACCAGCTTTGTGCAATTGAATCAATCTGGCCCGGTGACGAGGTCGAGGAGCCGCGCGCAGGCTCTGACATACCTATAAAAAGACTCTCACACTTCCTGGCGCACTAGCCCTGAGGATTCCGGCAGGTGACGGCGAAAGCTTGGCGCTTTTTAATTAAACTTTTATGGTTTTATCTTTACCCTGGTGTTCATTTTATATTTTTTACTATGAATATTCCCAGGGCTCATGTTTTTAATTTTCTTAGTCGTGAATATATATATATATATATATATATATATATATATATATATATATATATATGTTTTCTGAGGTTTTCGCGGGTGTTTGTATGTAGGTCTTTGGTTGTTCGGGTTTTCTCCCGCGTAAAATTGGAAGTGTCTTGGCGACGTTTCGACGAAGTCCCATTCGTCATCTTCAGGCTGGTGTTTTCAGCTTTGTGCTTCGAGCAGCAATGTGTGGTCTTAGCTGTTTCTTCCTTTTCACTGCCAGTGGGGGTATGAACTGATTGGGTGGGAGCTTGGCTGTGTTCTGATTGGGTGGAGGTGTGTTCTGATTGGTTAGGGGCTTGGCTGTGCTCTGATTGGCTGGGGGGTTGGCTGTGCTCTGATTGGCTGGGGGAGTGTTCTGTTTGGTTGTGCTCAAGTTAGTCTGAGTTGCAGAGGGGTTTAAGATTTTTGGCTGCCTTGCTATTTTTTGGCTTCGCGTTTGTGGTCGTGCCTCATTTTCATGGAGGGTGTCAGTTTGCTTCGTGTATGGATTGGAGGGCTTTAAAGTGGCTAATGATGCAGCTCTGGTCTGGCTTCTGGTTTGTGGTCGTGCCTCATCATCGGTGTGGCTGTGGGTTTGCGTTTTGCGTGGATGTGTGGTGGTGACATCCTGGGTGGTTTTTGTGAGTGTGGGTCTGGTATCATTTTTTGTATTAGGGAGTCGTTTGTCAATAAGGGCGGGTTTCCAAATGGCTGGTAGGCGGGAGG